TTTAGGAGTTTGGGCATGCTTGAACATGTGCCTGGTGTGATCTCAAATAGCCAGGTCTAGGAGGACTCGAACCATGGTCAGCCACGTAGGAATCCGGTGCCTTAACCACCACCATGCCATGCGCTGGCCTCTGGAAGCCTGTCTTGATGGTGCCAGGCTAACATTTGGTGATGAGTTGTCCTTCCTCGATTCTCTAGCACTTTCCACACACGGGCTGAAGACAGGGATCAACTCTTAGCCATTTAGAGGTCCCCGACATGGGACACACAACTCCGTACATTAGAAACGTTTAAGAGGCACCGAATCAACGAGTACTTGCTGGCACCGTCTAGGTGCGCCACCTACACCGAGTCCTCTCCGACGGGCCAACCCCCAAATGAGTTTGGAAAACAGCCCTGATCGCTTAACTTTGACCCCACAGACTTCCTGCGCAGATGTCCCCAATGAGAAGACGGCGTGAGAGCATGTCTTTGACTCACTCAGTCCTTCAACCGCTCCAGGGTCTGCACGGAGGTCCCTTCCCGTCTCAGCACAAACCTCCATAGTACGTGAGTGGCTTTCAGTCTGCGGCCTCAGCGATGTCACCTAACAGACTCCCCTCGGGGCCCTGCCCTCCAGGCATCAGCACGCTCTCTGGAGAGAAGGCCTGGGGAGAGCCTGGCCCTGTCCAAGTCACCAGAAGTTGCAGAGGTTATGAGTGGCAAGGCTGCCCAGGCAGGGCGCCCACAGCAGGAAGACGCGGAGACGGTCACAGCGCACAGAGAGGTGTGACAACCCCATACTTCGTGTGTGAGAACACATAAGTCCCCGTGATCCAACAGCCAGTGCCAAGCCATCTAGCCACCTGAGGCGCCTTCCTCTGGGACCTAGGCAGCGTGGGAACGGCCTTCCACTTCTCCGGTGTTCCTGCTGCAGAGGACGGGCTGAGGCGGTGCCATTTCGGTTCCCGTCCTGCCAGGTGGAGAATTCCAGAGCGCTCTCTGGGGGGCAGCGAGGCTGGCACTGCACACTCAGTGCCCATGTCAGGGTGAGCCAGAATACAGAAGGGGAGTCCTCTGAGCAGCCAGAGGCACCTGTGACGGGGACAGTGAGGGTCCGGGGGATGGAGCCTTCCCGAGGAATGGTCTGAAGCGGGTTAGATGGCTCTCCTGGCTCAGTCTGCTCCTTCAACGCTCTGCTCGCCTGTGTTCAGTCCCCTGCCTACCGAGCCCTCCTCTGTGTGGGACAATGGGTGCGTGCCCCAGGGCGAAGGTGCTGGAGCTCTTGCTCTGGGGGATGTGGGAGAGGTGTGCTCCCTCGTGACACCTGGCGATGGCAGGACCGTGGCAGCAGTGCTACGCGAGGACAGAGTGAGCCGCCAAAGCGGTCTGGAGGGGAGCAGAGGCAGTGGGGAGGCCGGGAGGGGAACGACCACGCTTCCAGAGGCTTTCCATTTCTGGAAGCACGATGGGGGTCCTGCACACCTTTGTCTTACATTTTTTCCAGAGCTACAGCAAGTCCACAATGGGGGAAAAGTCCTCATTCATACATTTAAAAAATCAGTTACTTAATTTTATTTATTATTATTTTAAAAACCTGACCAGAGAAGAGACAGAGAGAGAGAGAAAGGGAAAGTGAGAAAGCAAGCTGCCAGGCCTGGGACTTGAACAGAGGTCGGCCATGTGGGAGTCCAACACCTTAACCACCACGCCACCTGCCGGCCCCTCATTTGTACATTTAATGAATACTTACTGACACCAGAACAGTGCTAGGGACACAGTGGTAGCTGCGGCACAGTTCCTGACAGCAACTCCCAGACAAGCAAGCTGACAACTCCGGGCAGGAGCTAACCGAGGCCAGCAGGGGCACCCGGCTGGCAGTGTGCGGCCAGACAGGGAAGACCCTTGGAGGAAGAGAAGCGTGGGCTGGCTCCTTTTTTTGGGCGGGGGGGAGTTAAAGTTGCCTTCCTTCCTCCCTTCCCAGTGGATGGCGGCGTGGACATGGGTGTGAGTGAGGGGAAGCACTGCAGGCCGAGGAAACAGGATTTACAGAGGAGCAGGGGCAGCTTAGAGAACTGCACGCACAGCAGTGAAGAGGGACAGACTGTTCCAGAAGGCCTCCTAAGCCACAGGCCAGAGCTGGGCCCTTCTCCTGAAGATGACGGTGAGGGTGCACAGAGTGCGACCGGGGGAAGGTGAGCCTGAGGACAGGTAAGGCGCCTGGAAGGGTCAGAAGACGATCGTATCCACAGAACCTCAGTCTCCATCCTCTCCACGGCAGACCTGGGGGCAAGGAGTCTGGGGGACTGTCTGTTCGTGCTACGGAAGGAGAAAACCAGACAGAGAGGGCTTAAACATGTGACCGGGCCCCACACGAGTGGCTGGGCGTCTGACTCCTGCTCCAAGTCCTGTCAAACGACTGGGCAGCGAGTGCAGGGCCCCCCTCCAGCCCTCCTGCGCCCACTCGGGCCCAAGGTCACGGCGCAGGCTCCGGAGACAGCCGCACTGCATCCCGGTCACGGCGCTGCACTCTGTCAACCCTCTCTCCACACCGGAACTAAGACACGCGCACACACGCACGCGCATAGGCAAACACGCACGGAGGAAAAGCGGGGAACGACGGAGGGGGGCGGGCATTTGGCTCGGGGATAAGAAGTGACTCAGCGACCGGAGATGAGCGTATCAGATGCCTTCTCTCTAGCCAGCGGACCACTGGTCGGAGCCACCTTGCTGAAGGTGGATGGGTGGATGGGCACATGGCACAGGAAGGCAGCAGGTACCCCTAGACAAACGGGGTGGGTGGGCTGCCCACACGGAGGAGGCGGAGGACAAGGCCCCTCACTCTCCACGCAAAGATCACAGTGTGCAAAGGCCATCAACAGTGGACATTTCTCACTGTGACATTTTGAAAGCCCAGAACAATGGTCACCCTCTGGGACCATGGGCCGTGTGCCCCGAGGCCTCATTTAATGATGGCTGGCATGGCCCATGGACTTGGTGAACTTGACCTGGGGCATGAGCCTCCCATGATGGCTCTACGTCACTCTGGTCTCTTCCCCTACCGAGAATTCCAGTCTCAGCTGAATGGATGGATTCATTCTGGGAACAGGAAAGTCACTCTGGGAGTGAATCAGAAGGCCCTAGCCCTGGTCCCCTGCCAGCCAGTGAGCTGGGAACTGAGTGCAATTGTGTGCCCAGGCGCCGGTGCAGCCCCGCTCTCGGGGAGACAGGGTCAGAGACCACGCAAGAGATGACGCGGAAGCCCCGCGAAGAGGACGAGAAGGCATCTAGGCTCTGAGGGACAAAGCCACCCTTTTGGTCGTGCCTGAGCCCAAGGAGGTGCTAAGAAATGCGCCAACTGGAGAACGTGTCTGTGACAGATCTCAGCTCCCGCTGGACAGCGGTTTCAATGGTCCCCAACCTGACAGACTAAGAACGGAGTCGTTTCTCAGAAAAGAAACTTTCTCTGAGATAAGTGGAAGCACTTGCCGCCGGTCACCCGGAGGCCCCTTTACTGTTAGAGGTCTCTGCTCTACTCCACTCCCACCCCGTGACGCGAAGGTGGACGCGGTTTTCAGGAGCATAAATGCCAACCTGAGCACTAGAGTGCACCTGAGCTTTCTGCTTTGCAAAATCAGGCAAGAGAACTCGGGATTCAAGACACGGCAGGCCAGGGGCACTGGTCATCCTTGATGGGGGCCCCAGACTGACACACGAGGAGTAAATTCCTCCAGGAAAGGGGACTGGAAAGTCCCACTCTGCCTGTCACTCACTAGGTTGGAACAAGGCTCCGGTCCCCAACTGGCCTGGGGAGCAGAGGGTGGAGGGGAAGGAGCGGCTCCTGCTGGGGCTCATTAGGGCATTGCTCCGGGCTCGCCCCACGTGCTGGTGCCAACCTTGTGACACCGTCCATCAATCTTAGTCTAAGTAGCAGGTAGGGAGAGAACGAAATGGCTTAAATTTTACATTGGAGAGTTGTTCGCACTGACGGCAGGGCTTGCAGCCGGCGCTTCGTCCCCCCTGCCGGCCAAAGGGTGGCCTGAAAAGCCTTCCTGAAGGACAGACCGCCTTCGATCACTCCTGGCTGGGGACTGCGCACTCTGCAAAAACAAGCGGGCTGGCTCTGCGAAAATTCACCCTGACATCGCTGGCTCCAATGTATTCACACAAGTGCGCGTTACAGTTGGAACCCCTGAGGTCTGACTGTGGTCACACAGGTCCCTGGGCCCAGGGGGAGGCGGGTCATCAGGTGCGCAGCCTGTAAGGAAGCCCCAGGGAGGGGAGCAGCCCTAGCTCCCCTGTGAACGTGAACAACCCAGAGCCAGGACAGGGGGTGCCCTTTGGACAAACGGAGCCTTAGAAAACAAATCAAGATCAAACTTGAGAAGTGTCTGCTATGGGCCCAGGATCACGTTCAGCAGCCCCTGGAGTTGCCCCTTCTAAGAGGACCTGGCCTTCTGTGCCAGCTGTGACAGCTTCCGCAATGTCTGAGCTACTTTAGAGGGAGTCACACGGGGAGTGGCCCTGGGCACGGTCACAGCTGGCCAGTCCCACCCTGGGAGGGAGGGCGCCCGGACGCTGGCCCCTTCCCAGAGAAGGAGGTCGCCTCTGCTTTCTAGGGACTACGTGCAGCCCGGGTCGTTACGTGACGGCGGGTGGGTTCCGAGCTGCGCCCAGACTGCCAGGGGAGCCCCAGAGGGACAAAGACCACACGGGCTCCACGCGATGGGCAGTGAGAGGGACCGGGGAGTCCCTCTCGAGGAGCTGGGAGGACGCGGGCCGGCTGCTTGGAACACGGGGAGTCGGGAACGGCCCCCAGGCCGCGGGGATCCTCCGGCCCAGCCACGGCAAGTCCTGCCGAGATGGCGACTGGGGGCGGGCGCCGTGAGCCCCCGAGGCAGGGGCGATTGGGTCTGCTCCGGGCGGAGGGGACATGGAGGGGAGGGCGGGCGCTCGGGACTGTCGCCGGCCAGGCGCGCTGGGGGCCGGGACGCCACGACCCTGCCTCCGGGCCTCACTCACCAGCTCATGGTCCCGCGCCTGCCGGGTCCTCTGCCGCCGCTCGGTCCTCCGGGAGCACTTCCGGCCTCCGCCAGTCTCCAGGAAGTGACGTCCACGCCCCCTGCCCGGAAGAGGCGGGCGGGAGGGCGGCGCCGCGCGTCTTGACCCCTTCGCTGCCGTGAGGCCGGTCTCGGTTGCAGGCGACCCCGCGGCTCGGGGCGTCCGCCCGCGGGGGGGGG